AAGACACACACACACACACACACAGAAGGAGCCCCTGCTGAGTCCATAGACGGTCACACAGGACCATAGTCACAAATGTAGACAGACTCTGTTGTGAAGTGTTATCTTAAAGTAGCTGAAGAGAAGGAAGGATGGTTGAAGAAAATCGTTCCGCCATTTGTCTTTAACAGGTGCACTGAAACAACATATGCCAAAGTCGGCCATTTTGTAAACCACTGTGATGCTGTGATGATGCCGAGGCAGTAATATGTAGGAAAAGACTATTTAAAAAAAAAAAGCATTTTGCACAGAATTCCAGTTATTTGCTGCCTTGTGGTCTTAATAATCAGCTTATGTAAATAAATAAATGTGATGGTTTGTCTTTAAAGCTGAAGTCACACTGGTCCTCTAACCATATCTGGTGTCCTTGCTTTGACTGCTGTACTGATAAAAGTGTAAAAATAAACCCCGTCACAATTTTAATTTAGGCCTTCTTACCATCAAACGCTGATGGTGAAAATGATTGCCATCAAGAGGGATCACAAAAACAGTCGAGCTGGGTTTCCAGTCTCACTTATTGCTTTCTGTCACAACTGGTGTGCTCAAACAGTTGAAAGACCAAGTTTCACTGAATTATTTGAGCAAGACTTAGTTTGGACAGGAGTCAGTTTTCAGAGGATTGGAGTAAACCGCTCATGTTTTTGTCAAGAAGGCTTGGAGTGGGACAGGTGTATCATGATGATGCAGCATTTTCTTGAATAAAAGTGATTTAACTTTATAAACTCTATTGTACAACAATGAATGAAGCCTGAAAACGTTGTAATTCATCCTTCCTAATTTTATTTAAGCTCAGATTGTGTTTGAGTGAATTAAAGTTAAGCTGCAGGTTTGTGGTCGTATTGACCTGTATTGAAATTGTATAATTGCATCAGTGAGGATCAGCTTAATAGCAGAAATACTCACATGTTGACTACAATACCTGTTTTTTCATTCAACCTTTATTTAGACAGGTAATCCCATTGAGCCTCGAGGACTCATTTACAAGAGTTGTTTATCAGCCACAAAAATAAAACCACTAATGCAAAGAGACATTATCATTCTTGCAATGGTTGTTTTACACATCTCAGCCATTTAAATATTATAATCAACTGATCATGTAATTTCAAGATGACAGCACTCTTCAGTGGCCATAGCCTCACTTTGGAACAAGACGTGCATGCCTAAAGCCATGAGACCCAAGGACTCCTTGTAAAACTCCCAGTTCCACACACTATAAACCAACCTGAGGTCTAACATTCATGCCTCAACAGCTGTTTTTAAGCATGTGGAGGTCCCACACAATTCAGGGGTGGATATACATGGCTGTACTATAATTATTAGTCATGAACATTACAGACACTCTACTGTCATGATGATTATAATTTTTCCAAGAGCTTGCAAAATTAATAGTTACTAGTTACTCAAAAGAGGGAAAAATTGTAAAAGGAAATAATTTAGGCATTAATATAAATTATTGTATGTCCAAATATAACATGAAACTCCACATGTAAGTTTAGTGTTTACATAAACCATTCTTTTTTATTTATCATTCAGACCACCCAAAATGAAGCAAGTAAAACCCTTCAATGAACCAAAACAAACATCTAATTTATGTAATTGTAAAGAAGTAGTGCATATAATAAATATTTACTGGTAGTAAAAGTCATAGCCAATAAGCTCTGTGTTAGTGTGTTTGTGAGGTTGGTGGAATAAATAAATGGCGCAGGAGAGAGAAAGGCAGTCTGGTTTGTCCTGATGTCAAATGTTGGGTGTCGTCTTACAGGCTGTTACTACCATCTCCTGGTACAGACTGGAACTGTAAAGTTAGTGTAAACATTCATTCAACCTTTTACTGAACAGATCTAGTGTTACACTTCATCATATTTCAGGAATAATTTGTTCACTCTTGTTGGTTAAAAATATAGAATTTTGAGGAGATTTTTCTAAATGGTGGGTAAAAGAGGGTATTTTTTATGTTTGATGCATGTTTATCAAAGTATAAAAAGTATTTACGCCTTGTGATCTAACTGTTTTTGCTGCTATTCCTCAATTGTCCTTTTGGTTGCTATTTTGTTTCGATTTGTTAAAAAAAAAAAAAAAAGAGAGAGAAACTTAAATTTGTGTGCCTATTTTATGACTGTTTATTGTTGTCGTCGTTATCCATTGTTATTGTTGTTGTCCATTGCTGTCATCACTCTTTGTTAAGAAATCAGGTCTCTCTTGTAAATGAGCCCTCGAGGCTCAATGGGATTAACCTGTCTAAATAAAGGTTGAATGAAAAAAATATATATTTTGAGTTCCTTCTGCTATTCACTGCCACCTCATGACAGTACAATTTGGTATCATGTGTGAAGGTGAGTTTTTTCAATTACTAAACTAGACTGAACAAAAATATAAACACAACACTTTTGTTTTTGCTCCCATTTTCCATGAGATGAACTGAAAGATCTAAAACATGTACCGGTATGTACACAAACAGGCCTTTTCTCTCAAATAGTGTTCTCAAATTCGTCTAAACTGTGTTACTGAACACTTCTCCATCCATTAGTGATGTGTCCTTCTGTGTTGAGGCTTCGAAGCGTGTGTCGAGTATGTGGAGTGTGTAACAAGGCGTGTATTGATGACGCATGTAATGACGTTCGAGGCCTTGCTAGCGGGCCGTACCACGTGAACGATTCACCGTGAACTGGCTCGTTTGCATGCGCGAGATTCGAAATATAAGGGGCAGACAGAAAAATCCATCATAATCATAAAGACAGATTAAGATCATTTGCAGATCAAATTTAGACTATTTGAGGTCCTCACAAACATGATTTCATTTTTTGTTTTTCCCTTTTATTCAACTTAAAGCTTCGCAAATCAGTTATATTATAATCCATCCACCGGTTTCACATTTATAGTCCACTTGATGGAGCAGTAGAGCAAATGAAGCACCATGGCACATTGAGTCATGAGTCGAGCTGTTTGATTGAAAGCCTCAGTGCTTCATGAAGCTTCATCTCGCCATCACTACCGTCCACCTTGCAGGTGTGCCATATCAAGATGCTGATTAGACAGCATGATTATTGCACAGGTGTGCCTTAGGCTGACCAAAATAAAATATGCAGTTTAATCACACAGCACAATGCCACAGATGCTGCAGGTTTTGAGGGTGTGTGATCAGCATGCACAAAAGTGTTGCTTTTATATTTTTAAATTTTTGTTCAGTATAATTAATTTGACTGTCAATAAAAAAAATGTATTGCTTTGAGAATGTTTGTTTTAAACAGTTGTTATATTGTCAGTGTTGTTTCTTTACAAAGAGCTCAAGCCTAAACAAAAAACACAATAACTTAATAAGCAGGGGTCGACATAAGCAGTTTACATTTGTCTGAGGCAACAACCAGATTTCACCGTCGAGGTCCAGTGGACAACCAAGTGAAACAAACATGCGTTTTTAACCATCCTGATTTAGGCAGGGCAGTTCTGGATTTGGCCCTCCTGTGCCACTCCCCAAATGAAGAGGTGCAAGACACTCAAATGTCCCCAATTTGACAAGAGCTGTCTGAGCTCACCTGCTCATACTGTGTCTGTGTGGGACGAGGAACAGAGGGGCTGTTTCAAGGGCGTCCTGCAACAGCAGGAGGTAGACTACCGGAATAAGTCTATAATCTCTGTAAATACTGTGTACTTTTAAATACACAAACTATACTGTGCATTTTTACTAAGGTCATGTACAGTATTTTTACTAAGGTCATGTACAAACTATCTGTATTTTTTACTAAGGTCATGTACACACTACAATGTGCATTTTTACTAAGGTCATGTACACACTACACTGTGTATTTTTACT